CCCCTGACACGAGTGATGTCGAGCTGCCCTTGCCGATGCCGGCCCCCCCCAAGGTCAAACACAACCCTGATGCGGCCCTCAATGAAATCGAGTTCGACACCCTTGCATTACATCTTTCTCTTCTACAATCATAGGATTTCTTTGTGATCTTCTCTCCCGCGCTAACCAGATCCAACCCTGCATAGATACGGAATATCCCTGATCTCCGTGCTTTCCGCCGTGTCCTCAAGACCCTGATGTTCCAACAGGCGGGGCTAAACATATGAACATGTGAATGATTTTTTAAAATGTTATCTAATTCTGGGTTTTATTTCATTGGCCAAACTAAGTAATAATTTTAATTAGCAATTTTATGATGTTCGAGTGTCTATATTTTTCTTGGCTGTACACCGCCTTGAGCCCTACGGGAGAAAGGCGGTATAGAAATAAATAAATAAATAAATAAATAAATAAATAAATAAATAAATAAATAAATAAATAAATAGCTAGCTAGCTAGCTAGCTAGCTTTCTGAAGATCAGCCAAGGATGGTCAGGTTCTCCTCCTGGCTATGATTTACCGAAATGACACAACATGAAAGAAAAGGAACATCTAATAAAGGTGCAACACACAGCAAGATTTTAAAAGGAGGCTTAGAAACCATTTCTGATTTATTGCTGGAGATCCCTTATCTTTAGGTATACGTGTTTCTTGCAAGTCTGCAAGATGGCAGGATCAGCATTCCATCTCCTTTTTCTGCTTCCGTAAGAATCCTTCATTTTATCTTCTGACAATGCACTTCCACTGCCAAGCTGAGTTCGCAACTCTGCAACTCAATCTTTTTTTTCCAGTTCCCACTGAGAGAAAGGTCATCTCAGTCCATTCATTTGCCGATGGAGGAAGCAACGGCTGTACTCTTTATTTTCAAGGGCTGGCAGCCTTAGGAAGTAGTCAGGGAAAAACTAACATAATCCCAGAGGGCTGAAGCTGTGAGTTAATGCAAGTTTCTGAGAAGACTAGGTGGGCTTTGGTGGTGTTCTGTCCCAGCTACGGATCCCAAGAAGTGTAGCACACACACACAGCTCCAAAAACTCCGTTTAATACAAACAGACCCCTTTCAAAATGTAGACTTTAACCACCTTTTCAGTCTGCTATGAATTACAGAGATTAAACAAAGTCTGACAAGGGTTGGCAATCAGCCCAGAAACCAAGTTGTAACAAAAAACTCACTCTCAAAATGTTCTGTGTAGGACCAAATGTTGTTTCCAGCAACGTTTGCTATCTGTGTGCGAACTTAAATAGGCTAAGGGAGTGGCCAATTAACCCCAAACCTTACTCTCGAGGAGACCTCCTCCTGAGTAGCCACTCCTGCCTTTTGGCAGCCCTGCGTGCTCGAGCATTGAGAAGAGGCTCCTCCACTTCACTCTCTTCACTTGAAGGAGCCTCTGGAGGTTCTGAAGGCTGAGTTTCTGCCTCTGGCACCACATCCTCTTCAGCCTCCTTGCTGTCCAACTTGAGCGCCGGCTGCACAGGCTGCTGGCGCAACACTACACCATTCTCCTCCTCGTCAGGATCAGCCACAATCCGCGCAGGCTGCTGGTGGGCCACAACAGGTGGAGATCTCTAAGGCTTAGACCAGGGGTGTCAAACTCAAGGCCCATGGGCCACCTCTGGCCCATGGGGTGCTTAGATCTGGCCCGCAGGGTCGCCCTGGAAACAGGAAAGGACCAGCCCGTGGGCCTCTGCCAGCAAAAATAGAACTTGAGGGGGACTGTGCATGGTACCCCAAGCAGTGGTAGTATCCAGCCAGTTCTATCCGGTTCAGGTGAACTGGTAGCGGGGGCTGCGGGAGGCTCCGCCCACCCACCCCGATGTCATCACATCCTGATTTCGATGTTCTGAGCATGTGCGGAAGGTTCACATTTGCGAACCGGTAGCGAAGGTAGGTGAATACCGCCCCTGCCCCCCAAGCTCAGTTTTCGCTGGCAGAGGTCTAGCGAAACAAACTAAAAGCAAAACAAAAGGAGAAATGTTTCCCCTTTTGCATTTGAGCATGCAAGGAGGGACAGGAAGGGAGGAAGAGAAAGAGGAAAGACAAAAAGAAGGAAAGATGGGAAGAGAGAGCAGGGAAGGAAAAGAAAAAGAAGGAAAGGGGAAGGAAGAAGAAAGGAGAAGGAAGAGGGGAGGAAAAAGAAAAGGAAGGGAAGGGAAGCAAGGAAGGAAGCAAGGAAGGAAAGGAAGGAAGGAAGGAAGGAAGGAAGGAAGGAAGGAAGGAAAAGAAAATTGTATGAGAAGGAAGGAAGGAAATAATGAGAGTGAGGGAGGGTTTGAGGGAAGCCCTGCCTTAGCACTTGGCCACCACAGGTACCCCGACACAAGTGACGTCCTCACCACCCTGGCCATGCCTACCTTGGCCATCCTCCCCTCAAGGTCAAACACAACCCTGATGCAGCCCTCAATGAAATCGCATATGACACCCTTGGCTTAGACAATCCTTACTCTATCCCCCAAAAAATAATAATAATATCAGAGTCCCTGAGAAAAAAGGGAAGGAAAAGTTTGCCAGAAGACCTTCCTCCACGAGAAACCGGGAGGAGAAAGAACCCATTTTGTTGACAGTTTCTCTCACCACGATTTCCCCCTCTTCTGTATTGGAGTGAGTAGACCTTTGACTTGAGTCTCCCTTCCCATTCGCCCAAATTGAGGAAGGCCTGTTGATAGACAGGAGACACAGTTTCTTTTCCAAAAATGAACTTAAGACCTTTGGGAGGCAATCACGTGAAGTTCTCTCCTCAGATTTAGACGGGATCAAGTCGGCGAGAGGAATTCATGACCAGGCAAACAGATCATCTTTCAGCTTCTCTCTGTTGTTGTTCGTAGATCCGTAGCTCCCATCTTCTTGGAAGGGAGGGGAAAATAGCAGAGTTGGTCTTCTTCGACCAGCAAACCGGCCATCGTGGGGAAAGATACAAAATGAAACATTCGGAAGCGCTTCCTCAAAACCGTTGTTTCCTTTTCTCTCCAGTGAAATAATGCAGGTAGAGATGAAAGCAAGATTGATGTGGAAAATTTATCAGTCAAGGGCATTAATTACCAAAATAAACAGGTTGTATTATTGTTTAGAACAGGGGTGTCAAACTCAATTTCACTGAGGGCCGCATCAGGGCTGTGGCTGACTAGATGAATGTGGCCAACCAGGCAGGGGTGGCCAGCTGGATGCCACTCACAGGGCGTGACCAACTGGGTGGGTGTGGCCACCTTGACACCACTCCCCAAACTGCTGGCATGTTTCGCATTGGGTAGACCAGGCCGAAGCTACCCTTGCATTTTCCAGGACGGCCCTGCGGGTGAGATCTGACCACATTGCGGTCCGGATGTGGCCCGCGGGCCTTGAGTTTGGCACCCCTGGTTTAGAATCTTAACATCTCCTTTCTCCTTACGAAGTCAAGGAAATAAATGGGTATCTGTGACTGAGCCTCCAGATGTAGAACTATAATTCCCAAACTGTAATTCCCAATCAGATGAGAGTTTACTTAAGCAACATCTGGAAGTTCACAGGTTTTTCATCTCTGGTGTGATCCAAGGTCACTTGGTGGCCACTTGGTGGTCTCCGTGGTCATGTGGCCGGCATGACTAAACGCCAAAGGTGCACGTAACGCTGTTCCCTTCCCACCAAAGGTGGTCCCTACTTTTTCTACTTGCATTTTTTTTACGTGCTTTCGAACTGCTAGGTTGATAGAAGCTGGGACAGGTAACAGGAGCTCACCCCGTTACGCGGCACTAGAGATTCGAACCGCTGAACTGCCGACCTTTCAATTGACAAGCTCAGCATCTTAGCCACTGAACCACCACATCCCTACCACTGTACTTACATACATATTAAAATTCTTTAAAATTATAAATATGAGTCAGTTGCCAAGCAACCCGTGTTTTGATCGCGTGACCGTGATGGGATGTTGCAACGGTCATGAGTGTAAAAAAACGGTCGTTTAAGTCACTTTTTTCAGTGCTGTCGCAACTTCAAACAGCCAGGAAACAAATAGTTGTAAGGCAAGGATTACTTGTACCTTTTTATTATTATTTAGTTTCATAAAGCAAAAGAGAGAAAAAAAAGAAGATATCAGGTTTGGTTGTTTCAGTTCAGCGGCTAAGGTAATGCTCTGGATCTGTCACTAAATCAGGGATGCTATTCAGCAGGTTCTGACAGGTTCTGGAGAACCTGGTAGCGGAAATTTTGAGTAGTTCAGAGAACCGGCAAATATCACCTCTGGCTGGCCCCAGAGTGGGGTGGGAATGGGGATTTTGCAGTATCCTTCCCCTGGAGTGGGGTGGGAATGGAGATTTTGCAGTATCCTTCTCCTTGAGTGGGTGGGAATGGGCATTTTGCAGTATCCTTCCCCTGGAATGGGGTGGGAATGGAGATTTTGGAGTATCCTTCCCTTGGAGTGGGGTGGGAATGAAGATTTTGCAGTATCCTTCCCCTGGAGTGGGGTGGGAATGGGGATTTTGCAGTATCCTTCCCCTGGAGTGGGGCGGGAATGGAGATTTGGCAGTATCCTTCCCCTGGAATGGGGTGGGAATGGGGATTTTGCAGTATCCTTCCCCTGGAGTGGGGTGGAATGGGGATTTTGCAGTATCCTTCCCCTGGAGTGGGGTGGGAATGGGGATTTTGCAGTATCCTTCCCCTGGAGTGGGGTGGGAATGGAGTTTTGGCAGTATCCTTCCCCTGGAATGGGGTGGGAATGGAGATTTGGCAGTATCCTTCCCCTGCCACACCCACCAAGCCACGCCCACAGAACCGGTAGTAAAAAAAATTGAATTCCCCCACTGCACTAAATATTAGATGAAATTGCTTAACGCATTGTAAGCCGCCCTGAGTCTCCGGAGAAGGGCCATAAAAATCAAATTAAAAAAAAAAAAATAAAGGAAGGAGGAGGAGGACCTGTAATGAGAATTAATGCTAATTGCAAATCAATTTCCTTTTTTATTGATTCCTGCTTTTTTAAAAAATCTTTTTTTCAGGCCAAATTTACCGACGACTGCAAGTTCAGGGAGCGGTTTCAAGAGAACAGCTACAACACCTATTCCTCAGCAGTCCACAGGACGGTGCAAACCGGGCGGGAGTGGTACGTGGCTTTGAACAAGAGGGGCAAAGCCAAACGTGGGTGCAGCCCACGAGTAAAACCCCAGCATGTCTCCACTCATTTCCTTCCACGGTTCAAACAAACCGAGCCGCCCGAACTTTCTTTCACTGTGGCTGTCCCTGAGAAGAAAAGGCCACCGGTGGTCCTTCCACCGAAGCCCAAAGTTCCTCCGAAGAAGCCGGTTAAGTACAGACTCAAGTTTCGCTTTGGATAGCAATTCCTTGTTAATTCTCAAACGAAGAAACAATCGCCTTTTTTCCTCAGGAACTGCCTCCTAGCAGCGCCATGGTGCAGAAAAGGCAGACCGTGTGATCTGAGATAACCTTCAACTCCATTCATGGATCTCATTTTGAGGCCTAACCTACAAGCCGAGCCGCTTTGGGGAAGAGGGTTTAAAAAAAACGACATGGGGTCCTTCAGCTACGCTGAGGAGGAAAAGCACCAAAGGAATTCAGATAAATTCAGAAGGAAGCCTTAATTTTCCATCCCATCTCTCTCTCTCTCTCTCTCTGCTTTCCCGTCGTTGACCACGGATTGTCTTCTGCCGGCTTGAAATAGCTGAACTGCTGCGTGTAAAAAAACAACAACAAATAACTTTTCCGAGATGTGAAAGATTACCTCATACGTTGAGTCTATTCTCTCTCTATTTTTATTACTTCTACCTGGGTTTTTAATTGCTTTATTTCTGTTCTTTTTGTGTGTGTGTGTGTGTTGTAAATTCAGGAGGGAAGAGGTGAAGACGATGGCTCACGTCACGTTCTCTGCATGTGTGTGTTTGTCTGTCCCATCACTCTCTCTTATTTTTTTTCCCTGCACTTTTAAGAACATGTTTGAAAATACCTCAAATACGATTATCGGTGGATTTGCTCAACGCGTTCATCGGCTGATCTAAATGTTTTAAGAATTCAGAACTGTGGGAATCGGGTGAGAAAGAAAGAAAAATGTAATAAATTGATCAGGATGGAATGGTCTGATGTGAAATGACAAGGACGAAAGAGGTAGTCCTTGACTTATAACCATTCGTTTAGTGACCGTCCAAAAGTTACACTGGCACAGAAAAAAGTGACTTGTGACTGTTTATGACCATTCCAGCATCCCCATGGTCATGTGATCAAAATTCAGACGCTTGGCAACTGACTCATACTTATGACGGTTGCAGTGTCATATGCGGGGCTCATGTGATCATGTTTTGCGACCTTCTGGCGAGCAACGTCAATGGGGAAGCCGGATTCACTTAACAGCCGTGTTACTAACTTAGCAACTGCAGTGATTGACTTAACAACAGTGGCAAGAAAGGTCGTAAAATGGGGGCAAAAGTCACTTAACAAATGTCTCGCTTTAAATTTTGGGCTCAGTTGTGGTCGTAAGTCGAGGACTACCCTTACCTGCAACTTATACGTTGATGTCCTCTTCTTTGAGGACACCAGTGCTTAAGGTCTTACCTCGTGTCTCGAAAAGCTGCCACGATCTATTTAGTATGTTAGGGGTGGTTTTATTTCGTATTTCATCCAATTTTAGCAGAAAGCAACATTTGAGGCCTGTTTGGCGGGCATTTGTGTGTTTCTCCTCAGTCTAAACATCCGAGAAACTTTAGGGGTGTTCTTACTGGTAGTATCCACCTACGTTGCAACATTTGTCACCCATGGCTGACACTCAATTAGCTAAAGAGGGCCGGAGTTGATGACAGTAGTGGGTTGCCCCCGGTTCGGACCGGTTCGCAAGAACCGGTAGTAAAACTGGCAGGAGGCTCCGCCCACTGACCCGGACATCATCAGAGGCGATCTGCACATGCACGTGCGCGAGTGGGCACGATGCGAACCGGTAGTAAAGGTAAGTAGAACCCACCACTGGTTGATGAGTGTTGTACTGGACATTGCTGGAAATCCCAAGGCTCAGAAAACTCAGAAAATAAAAGACACATCTTGTGTCAAAGATTTCCCCATGTTGTCAAGACAACCACACGGTCACCTCCATGAAATTGCCAGGAGTTGAGCCAAAGGTACTTTTTCAGAAGGCAACTGGACTTTGTTCTTCCTTGAAGACGTTTCGCTCCTCATCCAAGAAGCTTCTTCGGTTCCGACGAAATGGTGGAGAACGGAAGGATTTAATATTTCTTGCAGTCATCCTTGGGGGAAAAAAGCTTCTTGGGTGGGTTTGAAAAAGCACCTTTGGGACAACCATGACCTGGAAGACTGAGAATCTCCATAGACAGTCAGGAGTTGAGCGTGATTCAAAAGGAGAGATTATTTTTTACATGGACTAGTAACTTTATGAAATTACGCATCCATAATTTCTTCAGTTTGATACCTTCCACAGTGTTTTTTTTTCCAATTGATAATTTTACTGAACGTTAGCCCAAAGGTGCTTTTTCAAGAGGCAACTGGACTTTCTGGTTTTTCTTTGAAGACTTTTCGCTTCTCTAGAGCTGAAGAAGCTTCTTGGATGAGAAGCAAAACCTCTTCAAAGAAAAACCAGAAAGTCCAGTTGAAAAAAAGTACCTTTGGAACAACCATGACTTGGATGACTGAGAATCTCCATAGATATTTACTGAAAGTTAACTAACCCTCTGCAGTGTTAAAACCATCACTTCCATTAAGCTATGTTAACCGGGGGTGGGAGGGGGAATGGTGAGAATTATTACAGGTAGTCCTCAATTTAACCACCATTCGTTTAGCGACGGAAGTTACAATGGCAGTGAAAAACGTAGAATCGCTCCTCGCACTTACAACCGTTGCAGCCTCCTCACAATTACATCATCAAGATTCAGGTGCTTATTTGTTTACGGCAGTGACAGTGTCCTAGGATTATGTGAAAACCATTGGTGACCTTCCCAGCCAACTTCCAAACAAAGCCAGTGGGGGAAGACAGATTCAATTAATGACCGCATGATTCACTTAACTGAAAGGCTATTGAAAGGCTATATGAGTCACGGTGACGCAGTGGTTAGAGTGCAGTACTGCAGGCTCCTTCTGCTGACTGCCGGCTGCCTGCAATTTGGCAGTTCGAAGCTTCCACCCTTTTCCCATTGCGAACCGGTAGTAAAGGTAAGTAGAACCCACTCCTGTAAAGAACAGTTGCTGGAATTGGGTATGTCTGTTGTTAGTTGCGAAGTCGTGTCCAACCCATCGCAACCCCATGGACAACGTTCCTCCAGGCCTTCCTGTCCTCTACCATCCTCTGGAGTCCATTTAAGCTCATGCCGACTGCTTCAGTGACTCCATCCAGCCACCTCATTCTCTGTCGTCCCCTTCTTCTTTTGCCCTCAATCTTTCCCAGCATTAGGCTCTTCTCCAGTGAGCCCTTCCTTCTCATTAGGTGGCCAAAGTATTTGAGTTTCATCTTCAGGATCTGGCCTTCTAAAGAGCAGTCAGGGTTGATCTCCTCTAGGACCGACCGGTTTGATCGCCTTGCAGTCCAAGGGACTCGCAGGAGTCTTCTCCAACACCAGAGTTCAAAGGCCTCCATTCTTTGGCACTCAGCCTTCCTTATGGTCCAACTTTCACAGCCATACATTGCAACTGGGAAAACCACAGCCTTGACTATACGCACTTTTGTTGGCAGGGTGATGTCTCTGCTTTTTAGTATGCTGTCTAGATTTGCCATAGCTTTCCTCCGCAGGAGCAAGCCTCTTTTAATTTCTTGCCTGCAGTCCCCATCTGCGCTGATCTTGCAGCCCAGGAAAATAAAATCTGCCACTACCTCCATTTCTTCCCCATCTATTTGCCAGGAATTGAGAGGGCCGGATGCCATGATCTTAGTTTTCTTAATGTTGAGTTTCAAGCCAACTTTTGCACTCTCCTTCTTCACCCGCATCAAGAAGCTCTTTAGTTCCTCTTCGCTTTCTGCCATTAGAGTGGTATCATCAGCATATTTGAGGTTGTTGATATTTCTCCCGGAACTCTTAATTCCAATTTGTGATTCATCTAGCCCCGCCTTTCTCATGATGTGCTCTGCATATAAGTTAAATAGGCAGGGCAACAGGATACAGCCTTGCCAGACTCCTTTCCCAAGTTTGAACCAATTAGTCCAGTTCCATGTCCAATTCTCACTGTTGCTTCTTGACCCGCATATAGGTTTCTCAAGAGACAAATAAGATGGTCTAGTTTACTATGTCTAGTTTACTGAAAAGCAGGACATGATAGCAGTGGCAACACCTGAGATATTGCCACAAAGAAGAGGGAGTCAAGCTATTCCCCAAAGCACCTGAGGGCAGGACAAGAAGCAATGGGTGGAAACTAATCAAGGAGAGAAGCAACCTAGAACTAAGGAGAAATTTCCTGACAGTTAGAACAATTAATCAGGGGAACAACTTGCCTCCAGAAGTTGTGAATGCCCCAACACTGGAAGTTTTTAAGAAGAGACTGGACAGCCATTTGTCTGAAATGGTATAAGGTTTCCTGCCTAAGCAGGGGGTTGGACTAGAAGACCTCCAAGGTCCCTTCCAACTCCGTTATTCTAAAGCGATTCTAAAGTTCAAGTCAGACGAAACAACGCTCTTTCTTCCCTTCCAAATGTCCTGATTTTCAAACGATTCCCTGCTGTTCTTTGGATAGCTGGAAGGACAGATTTTATTCTGATGCTGCCATGACAGTGTCTAAAATACCTCTTCCGTGACCCTGTGGAATTCCTACTCGTCTAGATTCCTAGAGAAAAAGCAGCTTAATCAGAGAGGCAACTTCCATTCTGTAAACGGGATCAAATGTCACCATGCGGCCCATGAGCAAGTCCCGTAGGAATCAGCAAACCAAAAATGTTCTTTTCCACAGGAGAAACACATTCCTTGTTGTTCTTACTAGCCATCTGAGACCCCTTCCTGTTAAAAAAGAAAAAACGAGGGTGGGTTTTTTTAATATACCAATGTCTTGATTCAAGCCAGTCATGCTGAACTCCATCCGGTAACTCATGTGGGCGTCCAAGCAAATTGACCAGTCGAGTGGAAAGGTGTGATGAAAAGGAGTTAGAATAGAATAGAATAACAGAGTTGGAAGGGACCGTGGAGGTTTTCTAGTCCAACCAGTGGTGGGTTCCTCCCGGTTCGGTCCGGTTCGGCCGAGCCGGTAGCGGTGACATATGACATCACCAAACTGGTTCTCCCCCCCCGCCCTCCCACCCCTCCACCCACGTTATTCTTACCTTTTATTTGGTCCCACCCCCAATCTATTGCTGCCTCCTGAGTCCCAGCTGATGACTAGAGGGAAAAAAACTGTTGAAACTCTTGCCACGGGGCTTCAAAGGGCCGCCCTACAGCTGATCAGTGTTAACCGGGTCGTAAGTGCGAGGACTGGTCATAAGTGCGAGGACCTTCCAGAAGTGACTGACCAGCTAGCCACGCCCACCTAGTCACATGACCTCCAAGCCACACCCACAAAATAAGCCACGCCCACAGAACCGATAGTAAAAAAATTTAGAACCCACCCCTGAGTCCAACCCCCTGCCCAGGCAGGAAACCCTACACCACTTCAGACAAATTGTTATCCCACATCTTCTTAAAAACTTCCAGTGTTGGAGAATTCATAACTTCTGGAGGCCAGTTGTTCCACTGATTCATTGTTCTAACTGCCAGGAAATTTCTCCTTAGTTCTAAGTTGCTTCTTTCCTCGATTAGTTTCCACCCATTGCTTCTTGTCCTGCCCTCAGGTGCTTTGGAGAATAGCTTGACTCCCTCTTCTTTGTGGCAACCCCTGAGATATTGGGACACTGCTATCATGTCTCCCCTAGTCCTTCTCTTCATTCAACTAGACATACCCAGTTCCTGCAACCGTTCTTCATATGTTTTAGCCTCCAGTCCCCTCATCATCTTTGTTGCTCTTCTCTGCACTCTTTCTAGAGTCTCAACTCTAGAAGGTTGATCTGGTGCTATTTTACCTCAATTTGGAGTGAGCCGCCCAGAGGTGGTATTCAGCCGGTTTGGATCGATTTGAGCGAACCAGTAGCAGCGACTGTGGGTGGGCCCAGCTACCCGCCCC